TAAGCTGCAATTGGGCTGGGTACCGCTTTCGAGTAAACACTACCAGTTCAGTTTTCTGCGGCGATAATTCGATCCCTAGATTCATAGCCCAAGAAGACAAGTTATCTAAGGAATTTTGCAATGGTCCTTCCAAGTCCACGGCATGTGGACCTCTTACGGAAACCACACCGTCATCTGCAAGTTGTCTTAGCGTGCATTGTTCTGCCAAACAGTTGTCGATATCTTTGACGTAAAAGTTATAAAGAAGAGGGCTGAGACATGAGCCTTGGGGCAGGCCCATGTAGCTAATTCTGGAAGTTGTCAGTTGTCCAAGGGAAAAGTTCATTTGCTTTTCTGACAACAAATTGTACAAGAAATTATTTAAAATTCCAGAAAGTCCACATCTGTGCAGATTGTCTGACAGAATTTCAATGGAAACTGAATCAAAAGCCCCCTTAATGTCCAAGAATACTGAAGCCAATTGCTCCTTGTGTGCAAAGGTCAGTTGAATATCTGTGGAAAGCAGCGCTAGACAATCGTTTGTTCCTTTGCTCTTGCGGAACCCAAACTGTGTATTTGATAGCAAGTTATTTGATTCGACCCAGTGATCGAGTCTCCGAAGGATCATTTTCTCCAACAATTTCCTAATGCACGAAAGCATAGCAATCGGACGGTATGAGTTATGGTCAGACGCTGATTTGCCAGGTTTTTTAATGGCTATTACTTTGACCTGTCTCCATTCAGGCGGTACAATGTTGTTTTCTAGCAAGGAATTGAATAAATCTAGCAAGCGTCTTTTAGCGATATCTGGGAGATTTTTCAGAAGATTGAATTTAATCATATCGCTTCCCGGTGAGGAGTTGTTCGATGAAAGAAGAGCCATAGAGAAATCCAGCATTGAGAATGGTCTATCCAGAGAGCCGCCGCTAGGAGACGCTTCTCGAAGAATATTTTGTGCTGGAACTGAGTCCGGACAGACCTTTTTAGCGAAATCGAATATCCATCGGTTGGAGTATTCTTCACTCTCATTGAAAGATGAGCGGTTACGCATGTTGCGAGCCACCCCTCCACAAGGTGTTCATTGAGGTTTCTCGTGAGAGTCCCTCGACGAAATTGCGCCAATAACCGCGTTTTTTTGCTTTGATTAATTGTTTCAGCTTTGTCTCAAGCTTTGAATATTCCTCGAAGTAAGTGGAGGTTTTGTGTCTACGAAAAGCTTTGAAAGCATCAGATTTTTCTACATACAATTTTGTGCATTCTTCGTCCCAACCAGGTGTGGCTGGTCTCCTTTTAAAGGGTGCACTTGGAACTTTTCTTTCTTGTGCTTCCAGTGAGCTTTTGTAAATTAAATCGGCTAGGAATCGATATTCTTCCAATGGTGGAAGCGCATCTATTGATTCGACACCGATTGTCACCGCCGTTGCATATTTCTGCCAGTCGATGTTCCTTGTAAGATCAAATGGAACCCGAGATGGTTCTGCAGAGTGAGGGCCACACTTTATTGAAATGATGATTGGCAAATGATCGCTACCATGGGGATCATTGATAACCTTCCACTGACAATCCAATGATAGCGATCTTGAACACAAAGATAGGTCGAGTCGGCTTTCTCGAGCCGGAGGTTTTGCTATACGTGTCGCTTCACCAGTATTCAAAATAGTCAAATTGAAATCGTCACATAAATCGTAAAAAATAGCCGCTCTATTGTCGTCATATAGATCGCCCCACCCAGTACCATGGGAGTTCATATCACCCAGAATTAATACTGGGGATGGAAGAATCGAAACTAGATTCCAGAGTTGACTACGGCTAATGGAGGTTCTTGGTGGAACGTATACTGAAGCTATGCAAAGATCTTTGTTCTTCACATTTATTTGGCAAGCGACGATTTCGACGCCTGATAGAGCAGGAAGGGAAATTTTGTAGAAAGGGTAGCACTTTTTGATCCCTAAAAGTACTCCTCCATAAGAATCGTCTCTATCCAGGCGAATAATGTTAAAATCGTGGAAGTTGAGTTCTTTATCGGAAGAAAGCCATGTTTCACAGAGAGCAAATATATCACAATCAGAATTGTGAAGTAAAAATTTGAACGAGTCTAGTTTAGGCACTAGACTACGGCAGTTCCACTGTAGCACAGTGATCATATCTTCAACCTCGTTCGACGAATTATCCATCGAAAGATATGATTGATGCAAGGAGGGGCCATGAAACAGTCAATTGCTTAAGATATGATTCTAATGTTGGAAGCAAGGCAGAAACTAAGCTTCTAAGAGGGTCTTGTATGTTGAACATATTTAATATGAATTCCACAATGTCCGAAAAAGCTAGCAAACCGCGTTCGGACTTGGATTTCTTTTGAGAAGTTTGAGGAGCAGCTTTTTTGTTTTTCTTTTCTTTGTTGGGTAATGGCGGAAAATCCTTACTGCAGCCAGGAAGTGGAGCAGTAGGAGCCTTCGATTTAATTTTTTCATCTCCATTACCCTGGGAATTTTGCAATCCTCTGGGAGTGACTTTAGTTTTCTTACGGCGCACTTTCGGGGAGGAGCATTTTCGTTTTGAGGATCCGTTCGTTTTCAAAGGTGCGTGTACCACCGTAGAGTCACCCTCATCGGATGAGTCAGAGTCCGATTCTTCAGCTGACAAAATCGAAAATTGATTTTCATCTTGGACGGCTGATGCAGCCTTCACCATTTGTGCATATGTCTGCTTGGAGCGTCCAGAGATTGAACGCTGCACTTTATCGGAGTGCTGCTTGTACATCGGGCACTCCTGCAAGGGGTGAGGATTCTCGCCACAATAAGCGCATTTTACTGATTCTTTGTGGCAAGAATCCTCTTTGTGGTTTTCACCACATTTGCCACAACGAGTTTTGTTGCCGCAATGGCTGGCTGAGTGTCCCAGCCTTTTGCAGTTGGTACAATTATATACCCTCTGTACAAACAACCGCACCGGAAAAAAAGCACCATCAACTTTGACAAAGTTTGGGAGAACTGAACCAGCGAAAGTCACCCGAAACGAGTCTGAATGCTGATAAACTTTCTTGCCATCTTGCAAAGATACTGAATGCAGTTGCCTAACATCCAGTATCTGTACCTGCTGACCGATTTTCGAGTTTTTGAAGCAACCCGATGCTCGTTTTAAATCCTCGACACTCAGACTCGCGTCGGAGACCACACCTTCTATCTCCACATCTCGAGAAGGGATGTAGATGTTGTACTCAACACTAAACAGCTCATGTTCAGCAATTTTATTTGCCACATCATAAGTCGGTGCTTCTACACGCAGTTTATTGAATCTCTCTTTATGTACCAAGATTCCCGGATACTTACGCAGCAAGTCTCTCGAAATGTCGAGAGTTTTCAAAGGTTTATTTTTAGGCCGAAAAAAGACAACCCATGGTCCTTTCGAAGACGGTTGATAGTATCTAGTTCGCGCAACGTAGGTATCTGAAGACGCCATAAGTGTTGCGCAAACGCGGTGCACAACCGCTTAAAAGGAAAAAAAAATACTTCAAAAAACCTTCACCAATTAATCTACTTAACTACTAGTTGTTAATATTTTGTTGCCCAGTGTATGAACAACCAAACAAAACAATAACAAAATTATCAAAAAAAAAAAAAAAAAAAACTTTTTATTAGTTGCAAGAAGTTGCACCACTATAGCCCTCACAACCCTATCAGGGGAGAGGGCAAAGCCACGCGCAAAATTCAATAACAAAAGCGCGGCAATGGGCTAGAGAAGACTATTGTATAGAATACTTAACACCGGCCGGTGCCGGCTGTGTAAGCTGGTGCAGCCACTCCGTTTGCTCCTTTGTTTTTGTTGCTTGCTGCTTTGGAGTGGTGATGAGATGATGACGGTGAGATGATAGTCCACCTATAGCGTCGCTAAAGGTGGCTACTTCCTCTGCTGACTGCGGTTGCCTTGGGCACTGAACTTCGTCCACGGTAGGTAAAACGCGCGATATAAAAAAACCACTATGGTGGGAAAACCAATACCCGCAACGGAGACACGAACAAACTACGTCCGGCTACTTCAAGCTATCGGCGAGGAATGACCCATAAGGTGTTGTACAACGGTTGAATCTGGTTTCCCGGAATTTGTTTGAAGTACGCTATGTTTCATTGTCCATGATACAGCAGTGTGTTTTTGTCAAAATTTGTGTGTATAGCTTACGTGCTCGCGTTCTAGCTGTCCTATTCTGCCGTTCATTGGTGCTTTCTGAACCTTGAATGAACGTAGTCCTGCTCGTTTCTTGGCTTTCTGCACGAAACTTTTTGCCAGGTGCAATTTTTACGCGACATCCCGAACGGAATGGAATAGTAGGGTTTGCGTTTGAAGGCAGCAACCACTCGCTTGTGATCTTCAACGCATTACGGAACACTTTTTCTTGCACTCACTTGCTTCCGATTGACATTTAAACGTTCTCCGAAACGTTTTACGACACGAGAAACAGTAACTTGTTGGATTTCGAACATCTTTCCGATGGCTCTGTGCGAAAGCTGTAGGTTGTTGTTGAGGTGAGTATGCATAATTTTCTCGCACACACGCTGTTCCTTAGACTACATTTTCAAAACTACTAGAAATTTTACTAAACTCAAAATACATGCTGAGGCCACTCACCCAAAATTTAATTAAAATTAACCCAAAGACCAAAAAGTTACAGCTGCAATTTAACTGTGGACACCCTTTAGAATCAGTACTGAATGTTATCCATCCAGCGCCCATAAGGAAACCGTTAAAGTTAACTAATTTATATTATAAACTTTATTGCTATTTTGGGAGGTTATTATTTAGTACCTTCCATTTTTTGAGTAAAATCGTAGTAATATGGACCCAACATTTGTGGATCACCGAGAAAAAAAAACCAACATGAATTGAAGATCAGCAAACGTAAGAACGTTCCTAGTTTAGCTTAAATCGTTGTCTGGTTATCCTTTTTCGATAGTAACTACTTATTTTATAACAAGTAAAATGTTTGCTTCGTAACTCTATCTGTTGTGCTTAATCTTATTTTGCAGGCCGAATTGCGAGAACACGAAAACACAGTCGAATGCATTGCCTGGGCGCCGGAATCGGCTGCGGCAGCAATCAATGAGGCAGCCGGAGCCGACAACAAAAAGGGAGCCCACCAGGGGCCGTTCCTCGCGTCCGGATCTAGAGATAAGACGATTAGGGTAAGTTGGTTCTTCACTTTCGCTAGTATTCGGATTCAAATGATTAGGAGTTTAATTTACGTTTGTTTTCGCCTAGATCTGGGACGTCAGCTCCGGGCTGTGTCTATTCACACTTGTCGGTCATGACAACTGGGTACGGGGCATCGTGTTCCATCCCGGTGGTAAGTACATGATTTCCGCCAGCGACGACAAAACGCTGCGCATCTGGGACCTCCGCAACAAGCGCTGTATGAAGACGCTGTATGCTCACTCACACTTCTGTACATCGCTCGGTAAGCGTATTTTAACAACATAACCTAGAAATGGTTTCCATTAACGGATTGATTCGTCTTCCAGATATGCATAAGTCACATCCATACGTCATATCGGGCAGCGTGGACACGACGGTGAAAGTTTGGGAATGTCGCTAAGCGAACCACCGTGCAACGTGTGTTTTCGAAGCAGTTTCCTTCTTTTGTACTCGATAGTGATGAAATGAAACAAATTACAAACACACACTCACACACCAACATACAGCGTAAAGGAGCAGTAGAAAGCGCGCAGCTGAGCAGCCATGCGTGTAAGGAGAGGTAATTCTATTTGATAAGCAGCAACTATTTCAACAACCACATGCTAGAAAATATACACTTACATTCTACATATAAACAGCAAACACATAAATAATATGGATAACAAAATGGAAACTACTACTACTACAGTTGCAGTAATACACAACTACAAGGAAAAACATGCAAAATATTTGAGAATTAATCCAATTTCTTTCCCCCATTATAAACTGAAGCAACATTATTGCAAAACCCTCAAGAAACATTAAAAAAAAAGAAGAAGCTGTCAAACCATAAGAGAAAAGAGCAAAGTACTCCGAACATAGCAGAACGCATGAATGAAAAGCTACAACAAGCGAAACATATTATCATATTATATTCTTATAATTACTATTCCTAGAAAGTAGAAATCATATTTGAAACTAAAACAATGGAGTGTAGTAATCGAGAGGAATTTGATTTGGACAGGGCATGAAGTTTTAACACACACTCGCGAACGTAATGGAACGACGATGTGACTACATGGAACCGAATGGACATCGACGACGACCACGACTTTTCACAGCTAAAGATGAATGACGAACCAACTAACTCACACGGAACGAAAACAGGAGAACAATTTACAAATGGTCCAGCGAATGTTTGTTGATTATTTATCTTTTATTCGTGCAAGATTCGTACGCCTCGGAAGTCACTCTACGTTTCTCACCAAGCGAATAAGTTACGTCGTATCGTCAAAGGAAAAAAAGAAGATTGAAAGTCCGTGCGATGGGATGTCCTGTTCTTTTCAAAATTGTTTCTTGAAATGGCGGAAATGTACTAGAACCGAACTATGGTGTCACTCGTTGTGCTGGATTTGGGTTTTGTTCTATCAAAACTAGATGTATTATGATCATCTAGTTCCGCAACAATTGTAGTTGTTTAAAATTTGCATTTTTTTTTTCAATTCTGAATTGTTTTCAAAATAAGCAAATGTTCCTTTCCCATGTTAATCTAGTACTGCCTCAGAAGGAGAAAGCTGCACCAGCATTGGCTCCTTTAACCCTACTGCTGTTTTGCGATTTACTAATGTCCTGTTTACGTGGTTTGTGCTGTTTCATTTCTTGTAAATATTACTATTTCTATAGTTGAAGACTTGTAGCTCTATTTTGAGATGGAGTTTAACCACATATTACGCAAACACCTTTAGTAAGATAATTATATAGTTTTCAACCGTTCAACCGCACCATTTTGCCACTGCTAGTGATAGTAGACGAACTAACAACAACTGTCACCGATAATCCTAGTGTGAGTATGAGAATAGTGTGATCGAGCGAGCAACTGTGTGATTCAAGAGACGACGAACGCGCCGAAAATACACGTAGAAGAGAATAATCTTCAAATACATTCAGTCCATTTTGTAAAAAGTTCACCCATTAATCTACTACAACTACTAATTGACTCACACAATACACACTTCGGGGAATACGAGTTTACTGAAAAAAAAAATTAGGAGCGATTAGAAGCGATGGTTATTAAATTATTAATTACAATTAAAGTTAGAATAACATAAAAGTGAAACAATAAATATTAGATCCATAGCTGTAGCTATCCGAGGAAAAGTGAAACAAGAAAACACTGAATTCTTAAGTGAAAATGTTTTAATTGATGAAATGAAGTAAAAATAACATATAAATAATGTTGCTTAAAATTGATGAGTTGATTCTCTATTTATATTTAAGCTTGCTAAAAAGTAAACCTAGAACAACAACAACAACAACAAATAAACCACTTCTTACTCGTTCATGTATGGTTTTGAAACGATTCCTTGCTGGAAAATGGTTAGTTTTTAGAATCCAGAGAAAGAGATGATGCCACGATATTTTTCGAACAATATTCCCAGCTGAGAGAAAGACATAGGAAAATCACACGCTCACGCATGAACTTATCTACGTAGCATTGCTGAGATTCTGCTTTATGAACGAACACAGATATTTCCAACTAGTAGTAAAAGTGCCGCATGATAGAATCATAGCTTGTTTTTGTACCATTTTTTGTTGCAACACCGCAGCAGTCCCAGTCCTATTTTCCGCTCCGTGGAAAAGCAGAAGGGGATCTTTGGTTCGCTTTGGAGAAAAAGTTCTGATAATTTAGTTTCGCGCTAATTATTTTGAGTCTTTTTTTGTTGAATTCACATTAACAGCAAAAATCTACCGAGCGGTTGTCGGACGAGGTGTTCTTTCCGGAGTTCCCAAAACTTGTCCAAAATGTACATGAAAAAAACATTCGAAACATTCCTTTAAATTCTCAGCCCAAACCGCCGCGTCGACGAAAGCGATTTGATTTTATTTTTTAGCGTTTGAGCAAATAAAATTTACAATCGTGAGTAGTCGAACCTGTTTTCCATTTTAAGGCGGTTTAAAACCACATTTCGAAAATTAACGTCCAAAACAACCGATTTTTTCCTAAGAAACAAGGAAAGAAACACCGCCACCGCAGCCGCCTAGAAAGACGACAACAAAACTCGATGAGATTCAGTCGAATTTACCATCTTCGAATGTACGATGACCAGCAGAAACAAAAAAAAAATCGAATGTTTTAGCCAGAAGCAGCTAGCATCAACTTGTAATTGTTTTTGAGGAGAGTGCAAATACTTTTAGGGTTAGTTTTTTAGCGATTGATTTGAGACGAAAACGATGAAGTAAACAAAAAACACTCGATTATATTCTGTCTACAGCTTTTCTGGTGAGCTGAATTCAAAGCTGACACAAACATTTGTGAACTCAAGCTATTTGATTGAAAAAACGTTAATAACCGGATAGAAGAACCCTATTGAAAAAAGGAAGAAAATGAATCAAATTAAAAATTACACTAAAATAATCAATTTGAAAAATTCTTACTGAAAACAACTGACAACAACAGATTAATAACAACAAGTGGTTTAACATACAACACATATGCAACATTACAAGCAGATTTAACATTTTCAACAACAACAACAAGATAAATTGAATCTAAGATGTGACAACAGCATACTTTTCTTTGTAAATACTATTGAAAATGGTAATAAAATATATTTAAAATTGATGCTCTATGGTTAACGTTGTGCTGAAAGAAATCTCCAGCTGGAATTGCGTTTCTTATTATGTTTATTTAAGTATTTTATTGGGATTATGTTGGGTTCTTCCTGCCATTCTTGGGGCAAGTGTATACCCAGTGAAGTAAGGTAAGGGGTAAAGTAAGTAAGGTCGGGATATTACAATAGTCGCTATATTCATAGTCTGGCGGATAGAATCTCGGGAACCAATTGAGCTGTCAAATAGCGGAACCAATCGAGCAAATTACGACCAACAATAGAAAAGAGCACATCAGCTATTACGAACAAAATTTCGGAAACCGTTTTCTCGTGACTAAAGGATCACCCTGGGTCTGGCGAAGTCGAATCGCAGCCAGCTTCAGACACTATCCAAGACGCATTGCAGCAAGCTTTACTCTGTTCGAACGGTTGTCAAATTGATAAACAAAGCAAATGTGTGCAAGATTGTGAGTGACTCTTTTGAAATATCGATTGGTAGTTGTAGTCTGTTGTAGCGTTGTTATTGTCGTTCGCGTTTGACAACGGAAAACCCCACACCCGACTTTCGATTTTACTCTCGTTCTGTACAACAACAAATCGTCGGACATGGTGTGCATTACGGCGCATCATTGTACAAATACAGCGCACTATGTCCGACGTTATGTTTTATGTACAGATTGAGAGTAAAATCGATTGGCGCGTGTCGAATTTTCCGGTTTTCTACTGTATCAATAATATTTGGTTTTCATAAAAGTTCCTAAGCAGTTAAAATGCGATGTTACGCAAAGTTTTGCAGCTACACTGCAAGTGCACCGGTGAAGAGAAGTTTATTTCGCTTTCCGAAGGATCGTTTCTTGCGCCGCGTGTGGTTGATTTTTAGCGAGATTGATGCGGAAACCCCAGTTCAAAAAAATTATGAATATGTTTCCAAAAATAATAACAACTACGTTTTACTCAGATTACAATACTCCCTATCTGTTTCTTCCATATGAGCTCTTATAAGAACAGTAAAAAATGGTTCGATTCTGACAGTTCAAATTGGTTCGAAATCCATTACGAGTCCGCCAGACCCAGGGATCACCTACACAAACTAACGCCATGTTTAGGTTGTTGAAAATTTCCTCTATCCGATGATGCTGCTAATTTACCTTCGATTGGCGAGGAAAGAAAAATCAACGTATTGTTTATAAAAGTTGATAGTACCTCTTCAATTGTTGGTCTACTATATATTGAAATGGTTTCGCTTTTTGATAGATCGAAATTCTACCCGCCAGACTATAAATATAGCGACTATAGATATTACGGGAAACCCCTCCAATCAAATTTAGATGGGCACCCTTCCTCTCTGCCGATTAAGCCAAATGGTTTGGTATACAACTACGGTATATATAGAACAACTACGATCCTATAAAGAAGGTATGTCATACCTACTTTATAGAATCGGCTATGGCGTACAATTAAATTTTATTTTATTTAAATTTTGTTAATTGCTTGAACTAGAAAAAATACTGCCCTGGGCATTGGCATAACCTTGAGGATTGCTTAACTGCCAGATCCAAGGGCTTGTCTGTATCTTTACATTTTGAAAGATGCACACTAGGGATGCCAGTTGTGATGTCGCGGACCAAAAGTTTGTTGGAATTTAACTACAAACCAAAATTAAATAATTGTGTAGTTTAGAATTATGATTTTAACAATGATTTTTTTCTAAATAATCACTATAGTGGCATTTTCAGAAAAATCTGCACCAGTCAACATATAAAATCTAGAAAAAATCTGGAATGCTCCAAAAAATCCTGTTTTTAACATAAATCTATTGAAATCAAAGTGATGTGCCAATCTCCCGTAAAAATCGGTCAGCATGATCATCTTAAATTTATTTAAAGTACTAGAATGGTTATAAATTACATATTACAAATATATTACACATAAATTATATAAAGCAAATAACTTGTTAGCATCATCCAAAAGTTGAAAAGTATTGACACAGTGTGCCCAAAAAAGTTTAAATATCCATTACGTAGCAGTTCAAAAATTGAATTAAATGTGGGCAACATGCTGCAGAAAATATTTTTAGAATTGTTTTTTAAACTGTAATTTAAAAAAAAATGAATGAAAAGCAAAGATTTCAGCAAGTTTGATGGGATGGATTTTTTTAAACTAATAGTCAATGTAGTCCTTATTATTTGATGCAGTACCAGAATATATAGATTGTATTAGTTCTAAACAAATCTAATATTACCCTGAGGTTGATCAGATTTACAATTTAATTCTTGACATCATACAACACACAACTCCCTATATACCTGTAAGCAATTTTATTTTGAAGCAAAATTCACCTGGTTGAAGTGGGAATCAAAGCTTAACATCGTGGTACTCACAAAAAGTTTACCTAAACTACGGGTAACTCCACTATTCCCAAGACCAATAATTTTAGGCCAAAGAATAATGTTATTATATTAGTAAAATGAAAGTCTTATAGCGTCAGGATCTTGAAATGATTATAAATTCCGGAATTTCTATTTTTCCTGGGTCCCAGATCATGAACATTTTTGTTGGTCTGAATTTACTTGGAACTCTTCACAGCATATTTTCGCCCTTTTTTGAGTTCCATTTGAATGATCCTAGAATTTCACCATACTTATTTTCTGGATTCCCCTAAAATAATCTTGATAATATCCAAACTTATCCAGTAACATTCTAAGAGTTCATATCATTACTTCTTGTAATCTCTTATAAATTACTCCCTCAAACTGCTAAATTAGTCCCAAGTATTGGCATAATTTTGTGTCCAGTGTTTTCCCTATGAAATTCTTAAAATATTCTTAATAATTTCCTTGGTGCACTCTTCAGAATGACCGACACACTCTTCTCATAATTCCCTTTGAACTGCTTTGTTGGTAAGGTCAGAATTATTTTAAATTCATCTTCAGTATTTCCTAAGTACTCAAGTACTTTGCCAAAATGGCCATGAAAGTCTCCCAAAAATTGCGCATAATTCCATTAAATGTCTTAAAATTGTATTCTCCATAGAAACATTGGACAGAGTTCCATTGAAATTATTCTAACGATCAGCATAGTCCTTAAGTTTCATCATAAAAATTTTCTATGATTTCTCTTCCTATATTTCCTATATTCACAAAATCTCCATTCAATTGTCATCAGAGTTGACAAGACAATTGACACCGTCTTCAACCAGAGGTTGCACAGACTGAATATTTAACACTAGACAACGGACAACACACCACACTCAGTGGACCAGTAGGGAAATTTTCAGGTTGTGAAAATTTGCACCGGCTGGAGCGCGAATCGAACTCACTTCGTGGCACTCACAATACGCCTGAACGACCACGAAGTCCAAAAAGATGGATGGAACACTACTCAGAATTAGCTTGAAGTTCTCCTTTGATTTCACAAGGAATTCGCCTCACACTTCACTGTGAACAATTTTCAAAATTACCTTAAAATTCCAATAATGTCCAACGTTGATGGTCTTTAATAATTAAATGAGTAAGTTTGGATTTTTTTAGAGGGTAAATCAATTGCAATGATATTTTTAAAGCAACACAATCTGGGAAAATCTGGAACATATTTAAAAAATCTGGAAATATACGTGGTCTGTCTGTGTATCTGGCAATACGACTAAAAATCTGGAATACTGGCAACGTTGTAAATAATTGAGTCTAATGGCTGCAAAAATAATAAGATGTTTTTTTATTGTTATTCATTTGGTTCAACACTTGGCATGCGACATCACACAGGTACTACCTTTGAATTTAGCTTGATCGAGCGGCGATTTTCTTTTCTTTAGATCAAGACGATGAAGTTTTGAAGAAGACAACGATCATAATTCACAGGGAAGAAAAAAGTTGGTTGCCGTATTACACATGGAAAACTAGTGTGAAACAGGATATCAAGAGATCGAGCCATTCCCTGAATTTCTGGAAAGAGCTGGCAAATAACAGAAAACAATTTCAAAACGCCACCTACAATGGTTGAATCTGTGTACGAAGCGACCGATGGAACAGTATAGACGATAGCAGCAGCGATGACCTTTAGCACATAACATATATGGAACTCGATCTTCAAAAATCGACCCCCTTTCAGTGATTCCAAGTGGTATTAGAAGGACATCGATCTGTCAAATTGATTATACCAGCTGTAAAATGAGAATGGGAATCAAGGGGGTAGTCATAGGTATTCAAATAATTCTCAGGATATGTTTTCAATACATCAGGATGATTTGGTATCATATATTCTATAGGTGTTTCCAAAATTATTGAAAAAGGTGCTCAAATGTCTCCAAAAACTTCTCAAGTTATTTTTTTTTCAATATCTCATGATGATCAAGTATTATTCTGAACATCTTCGACTGTTCATCAATTCAAATAAGCTGTTTCTATGCACCACCAATGTAGAGTGCTCTAGGCGATTATGAGAGGATACGTCAACCAAACCGTTTGTTTACATAATAATTACAATTTTACATCTCAAATTAACGCATATTGTTATGCGAATCTTGTATATTTCCATTGGAAGGGGTCTTATCTCGGGTCTTATTTTATTATTTTTTACATATTTGAACGGTTTTACAGCTCAAATAACACCACATTAAAAATCCGGAAGATCATAACCGCTGGTGTAGTTTTATAAATCTTCACTTTTCTTAACAAAAATATGTGGAAGCACCCTCGGAAGCACCAGCCGGATCACTCTAAAATCGATACAGAAAACAAAATATTCCATGTGTATGATGATTACAAGCACCTGCGATGGATAAATTGATCAGAAAAGGTAAAAACATTTTCCTCTTCCTATGCTTCACGGCGAAAATTTCAGCCCTCATCACTCTTTTGATGGTTCCCTGATTCACCACCAGAGGCTGAAACGATCGATTAAATTCTAACGTCTCTCAGAAATTCTCTCATGGTAATCAGGTGTCTCAGAAATTATTGCAAAAACCTTCAGATGCTCATATGTATAGCTCTCCAAACCAGTGCTGCAAAATTTC